GTTTGAAGGAGAGGAAGGCGCCCTCAGGCAACTAACTCCAGATTTTCCTCCCTATCTCGGAGACATGTGCGCCTCATAGACATCTCTCATTTAATCTTCACAACAACTCTTTTAGGTCTCTCCATGGTCTCCGTTTCACAGCTGAGGAAACTCAGGCACTGGGGGACCGAGCCTGGATTTTAAACCACAGCCCAGGACCTCAACTACCATGAATGCGTTATGTCCTAGAAAAGTTTCACTCTCAAAGAAATTGAGGGATGATGAGGAGACAGATAGAAGCATCCAGAAAACGAGGCTTCCTCCACCCACCTCCCAGCCCTGCCCTCCTCCTCTTCTAATCACAATATTGGACAACTTATGCGCATCACAGAGAAATCAATGTGAGAACAACACGTGCTCCTTTGCTCCAGGGCTGAGCTCCCTCAGGCCCTCATATTAGATTTATTTATAATCTGATTTGGAAATAAAAAGGCAAAGCTATCCTTGGAGACTGCTTGGCTCATGCGCTCTACGTTCTAGCATTGCCTCAGCTGTGCTGCCCTGGGCCTGAGCAGAGATGCCAGCCGAGCCAGCCAGTGTCCGCCTGACTCTCGCTGGCCTCCTAGAAGTAAAGGCTGGTTCAAGTGTGGGCCTCCTCATGCACCTCTTTCATACAGAGGCCATGAAGCACCGTGGTCTCATGCAGCTGACCAGACAGGCTGCAGAGACAGCTAATAAGGGGCCCATTGCCACGTGCTGGCCACGCCAGTGTGGATACTCAGCCCTCATGTTTCATCTCAGCTTCCTCGTTACCCGTGTATGTGTGAGCGGCACAGGCTGTCACGCACCGAAGTCCGTCTAGAGCGCTCTCACGCACATGGACTCACATGGGTGAGCACGTTTCTAAGCCAGTAACTGGCCTTCCCTCTTACAGAATGCTCAGTTAGCCCACTCGTCCGTTTTACTTCTGTTTCTGTTCTTATATGTGATATGAGGGCCAGCTTGGGGAAAAAATACTCAAACAAGAGAGATTCTTTAAATGCATGAGTCAGAACTGCCCACAAAATCACACACGTACACACGCACTCACTCCCACACGCACACGTGGGCTCCCACACACATGCATGCATGCGCACACACACACGGCAGATGTATGGAGTGTGACAAGAAGGGATGTTGAGTGTCTAGGCATTCTCATGTCCTGCCTAGTAAAAGAAAAAGAAAAGCTTCTTTTATCCTTTTGTTTCTTTTGCTAACTGCAAGGCTTAGAAGAATTCTAATTGGAAAAAGGTCAGTATTGGTACATCTGATAAAAGTAACCTTTAGCCAATGAGTGCTTCATGTTTTTCTGACGGCCTGCGCAGAGAGAGCCTATCTGGATGGTAAGTGGCATTTTTTTTTTTTTGCTATTCAAGGTGACATTACACCTTGAACCTTTCCATTTGGCAGGTGCCAGCAAGCTGACAGAAAAGAATCTTGCACCAGTTATGAAATGATTCTCCTCTCAGTACAAACAGTGATGGGAGCAGGGGAGCAGTTGACTAAAAACACCCTGTGAGGGATGACTCTGCTGATGACCGTGCTGGGCTCCGGGGCCCGTAGACAAGAGGACAGGCATGCTCTCTGGCTGCATGGGCATGAGGAGCCAGCTGGGATGTTGACAGTGAGCCATTATTAAAGATGCGCAAGTCTCCAAGACCACCAATGGGCCACCATGGGTAGAGACAGGCCACCCGAGTCTGTGACGTGGCTCTCGTCCAGGAGAGGGTCCCCGAGAAGGCTTCCCTGGGGAAGGAAGTTTAAGGGAGACATGATGGGGGAAGCAGGGCTAGCTAGGTGAAGAGGGGGGAAGGGTTTCTAGCAGAGAGAGAGCAGTTAGCCAGGGACAGCCCCGTGCAGGAAAGAGGCCAGCATGGGAGGCCAGTGTGGAGAGGGCAGAGTCAGGTGGGAAGAAGCTGGAAGGAAAGGCAGGGGCTGAGGCTGGCCGAGCCCCGCAGAGCACAGTAAGTACTGGGTGCGTTACCCTAAGGAGCATGGGTGTCACTGAAGGCCGCAAGCCCAGGCAGGACCATGCTTGTCACTTGGCTACTGAGTGGGTGATGGACTATGGTGTGTGAATGAAAGCAGAGAGCCCAGTGAGGGGCTGTCACCAATGGTCCAGGCAAGAGACAATGGTGACATGAACTACAGCAATGCTGTGGAAGTGGGAAAAAGAGGTTTCTAGAAGATGGGATAGGTAAAATTTGGGGATGGATGTGACGAAGTGGGTGGGGTAAAGGGAGAGGAAGGAAGCTGGATGGCTCCCAGGGCAGTGATGTCATTGCTGGGACAGGCCCTAGAGGAGAGGCAGGGAGGAGACAAGGGTGGAGCAGGGCATGCTGGATGTGAGGCACCTGGGAGACGTCCTGGAGGAGGGGTCAAGAAGGCGATGCACTAGGAACTCAGCAGAGGGGTGTGGGTGGAGAGAGACACGTGAGCCTGAGCAGCAGGGACTAGGTGAAGCTGTGGGGCGAGTGCTACTGTCAGGAGGAGCACAGGGCCAGGAGGGAGCCCCGCGCCCTCTAGCCCAGTGGAGTTGTAGCTGGCCCAGAGCTGGGAGGTGAGGGAGAAACAGGAGAGTGGGGTGTTATTCAGGCCGAGAAAGAACACGTGTTAGGAAGGAGGGATGGAGCAACTGTGTTGAATGCTGCCAAGGGTTATCTTTCTGGAAAACAGACTCCTGTCACTCTCTTGATTTTAACTCACTGCTGTCTCCAAGAAAGAGTCTAAACTCCTTGTCATGAAATATCAGGCTTCTCCCATAGCACTGCCACTCTGCCTCCCAGGCTCGTGTCCCTGACGTCTCCTCTGCCCCTGAGTCTGCGTTGTAGCCTGGCTGACATGGCCCCGCCCATGCTGGTAGGTGGCGTCGTTCGCCTCTCTGGGAGTCATCTTCTCAAATGTCAGTTTTTGTTGGGAGGTCTGCCCCACTCCCATGCCCTTCGGTCCACCGGGTTCTAGGGTCACCACTGCAGCCCTCGGTGTAGGGCGTGTGGCCAGGACAATGCTGATAAGCACTTTGATCTCCCCTAACAGTGACTGGTTGAGGGAGGGGACAGGTAACGTGATTCAGTTGGTGTGCTCAGAGCAAATCTCATGGAAGTTCTGGGACAAAGGCTCACTTTCCTTTCTGGTAGATCAGAATCCGCAAGGCCACGGCCCAGGAGTTAAGGCAGCCACTCGGGGGCCACGGGAGTAGAGCTGATCTGAGAGCGTGGCTGACACATGGAAGACAGCAGAGACCCAAGCTTTGGTGACCCTGTTTGAGTCCTTGTGTTAAGCCAGGCCAGAAGCCAGAATGAATCTGGACTTTCGAGTCATGGGAGCCAATGAATGTCCTTTCCTTTTTATTTTTGTTTAGGGTCAGGTTTCCTGCCACTTGCACAGAATTGTATCCATGTATCCTAACTAATATAAACGTACCCTTCTTGTTACTGAGATGCGTCCCTGCTTATCCATCTGGAACACATAACTGTGCTTCTACGTGCAGCCTTCTGCGGCTCTTCTGAGCGGTCACCCCCTCTGTCGCCCCCCAGAGCCCAGCACGACCACCTGTCCACCGTGGTTTACACGTGTGGCTCCTCAACAGCCTCTGGCCAGAGGTCATTGTGCCATACTCACTCTGTACCCTGGATGTCTCACACATTATCTGGTGCATAAGAATCACTTGTCAAATGTTTTCTCAGTGACTCTCTGAATGAATGAATGAATAATGAATCATAGGCAGAGGCTCAATATCAACATACAGGCAGACACTGAAGCAAGTAAAAGAAGGGTTAAATGAATGCTTAAACGAATAAAAAAAATTGAGTTATCATCTCCAGTATTGGCCAAGTACATTTTCAAAATGTCATTATTTTAATTATGAAAATGGCCTCTCGACAATAAAAAAATAAAGCGTATCCCTTGCTCCCAGATGGAATGAACTCATTTAGTTATGTTACATCAGAATAACTTCACAGAATCTGGTATTCAGAGCTCGTTAGGTCAGGTTGGTTGGTTTTCCCATAATTAATTTAAATGTTCATCTTCTACAGAATTTCACTCCAAACCTGAACGGCCCTCGACACCTAAAGACCGGGTTCCGTTGCTCAGGCCCCGGCCTGGCTTTAGCGCTATGTCCGGTCACCCTTAATTGTCTAAAGACAACATCCAGAGCGGCCACCATTACCATGGTAACAAGTGCTGAAAAGGAAAGGGTGGCTGTCACGTACAAGACGGGGGCTGCGTGCAGAAACCACCGACAAGCCAAGGAAACGTGAGGCTTCCTCAGTTAACCATGGCCACTCGACATTTGGTGCTGGACACGGAGCAGCCAAAACACCCAATAAAGAAGCCCACCGGTCCTGGGTGCCGGGGAGGCTTGGCCCAGACAAACACGTTCCTGAGGTCTGACTAGAACAGGCTCTTTATATGGATTTAGCTTCCAATTGCACTTAAATTTCATCGAACAGGAAAGGCACCCTAAACACAAACGTTGTGAAAGTAGCGTTTCCCTCTCGGCACTCATAACTCCTGCTGTTCCGTACCTGGGCACCTGCATGTGAGCCACAACGAAACGCACTGAGACAGGCGGCACCTGGAGCTCCGTGCAGCACATCTTCAACGTACGGAGCTAGGCAGCTCGTTCTTCGGGTTCGGAATGGTTATTAAGAAAACTGTACAGAGGCCTTATTTTTTAGTGACAAATGTATAATAATCTAATCACTAGACTCAAAATTAAAGCAGGCTCATGGATATTGCTCCGTTAATTTAGAGGCAACTGGGACTTTCAAAGATGTTTTATCTGCCTTTCTTGCCGTGCAATCAAGGAGGGACCGTGAGTGCAGGCTCTTTGTTATCTTTGTCAATAATCAGTTGTCAGAACCACAAGTATTCGTGAAAGACCAGTGCACAGACTCTAGGAAGCCAGTGCAAAGCCTGAAGGCGAGAACCAATGAGCAGCAGAGAAGAGCTCTGCAGGATGGCTGCGCTGGTGGTACCTTATTTGATTTTCCTCGCTGTTCGCCTGGAAGAACCAGCGGAACTTCACAACCAGGGGGCTGCAGTTGGCGACTGTCATGTGGCGGATCGCCTCCGTATCGTTCAGAATGCAGCCGAAGTCCAGTTCCATGGTCTCGAAGCTGAGGTTGGGGAAGTGCACTTCCCCACGCAGCTTCAGGCTGTCTACCTGAGGGTGCTCCAGGTACTTGATTGCTAGAGTTTCCTCTGCCACCCAGTTGTTCAGATCGTGTCTGTAGAAAGGGTCAAATTTGATCAGCAGGCTCTTTTCTTCCCCAATCTCCAGTTTAACAGGCTGAAAACAAGATGAAGGGAAATGACCAACTTTGGTACTGTGGGTTTCCAACCTGATACAGGAAACAGTCAACGTTATTTCAATATACTTATGTACACACACAGATGCGTACATACACACATAGTACTATGAAATACATATATACCATGCTTTATCCAGAATTAGGGAGCCACACACACAGGTAATAGCTGGTGTATCTATAACTACCTATATTTATTGAGATTACAGATATTTCTGTATTTGCACAGATACATTCTACTAGTTGAAAATGAAAGTAAGAAAATTCTGGAGAGGAATTATTTGGAGGAGGGGATTTTTAAGAGCTGTGAGATGATAAAGATTGAGGAGTTGTACAAAGGAAAGTCTACAACAAAGAGCTATTATAAAAATATGCTTAACTGGAAGTAAGTTAGACTGTAAAATGCTCTTCCTAGACAAATGGGAAAAGTTCTTTATTTAAGAAATTTCAAAAAGGCTTTCTAAAGCACGTGGGGGCAGGGGGTCTCTGTGGAAGACGACCCAGAAAGGGATGGCTTAGGTGATTTAATTTCTTTTCTAACGTCTGTGATTCTCTCCAGCATGGCGTTGTCTACTTTCCACTGTTTTCTATTCAACTTAAAATGACACTCGAGAGCTGTACTGAGTTTGTTGGGTAGGTTTTGTTTGTTCTTTTTCTCTCTTTGATTCAAATCCCCATGTGTTCCTTGATGCCAAGGCCACAGTAACATCTTCCTATGGAAAGCCTAGCTAGGAGGGATTTTTTTTGTTGTTGTTGTTTTTAAAGGATTTGCTCAATTCCCACATTTAACGGGCACAAAAGCCACCTCCTGGTTCTGCAGAAGGTGCCTGGAGGCAGCTGGAGGAACGCACACAGGGCCCAGTCTGTTGACAGAGCTGTCCCCCGTCGCCGACTTTGAGGGTTCAGATATTTAACTGCGCGTGGGAGTGCCGTATATTAGACGGTTTCAGCGGACGGAGCCCATCACCTGATTCGAGAGTCAGAGAGGGCGATGCCTCTTCAGTGGGCTAACCCCACCTGAAAGCCTGGCGGGCCACTCTGCACGGCTGTCCGGGCACAACTGGGAGCCCGCTCTTGTAGACCACGGCATCCTCAGCCCTTGGGACCACAGTGCTTGGTGTTCAAAGTCTTTGAAGATTGACTCAAACATTTTTTCCCCAGAGAAGGAATTTTTTGTTTTGTAGAAAAAAATACATACCTATAAAATTTTACATTATATATAACAGTACAAAGAAGAAATTAGAAACTTATCTAGAATGTCACCATATATTATTTCTCAGAGTTCACTTTTGATACACTTTAGTCCAGACATGATGGATGGCTAAATAAAATTTTACAAAAATAGAGTTAGACTAATTTATTTTCAAATATCATGTCTGAAATTTTTCTCGGAGAAAAGCCTCTTCTTATACAACAGATGTTAACCCTGAAATCACGGACCCTGGAGCTGGACTGCTGGAGCTGAAATCCTGGACTTCTGGTTAGTAGCTCTGTGGATCTGGGTAAAGTTAGTTGGTTTCCTGCCCTTGGTCTCTTCCTCTTCATTGTTTTAATTTAATCTTTCTTGTATTTTTTCCATCACCCTTTAGTCCCCTTATACCACCCTACCCCCAGCAACCATCACACTGTCGTCCGTGTCCAGGAGTCCTTTGCCTAGCCCTCAGCTTCTCCATCTGTAAAATAGGGCCAATAATGGCCTATTTTTTAAGAGGATGAAATGAGTTAATATACATATGATGTCTTCAGAGTAGTGCTTATGGTATAGAAATATCAATTATTACTATTATCCCTTTCTCATCAAGAAAAAAGATGGTTCAATATGAAGCAGCTTCATCTTTAGACAGCATCTTACTGACACCCAGGTGTAAAGGGGATGAAGTCAGCATGTTTATGCTTGCCCCATCTCCCAGATGTTACTGGTTGTAGCGTTAATTTTTAGAAGCCAAGGCATACAACACTCTGTTCTGAAATCATAATTGCCAAAGTTGCTGGGTCTCAGTTGTTGATGCACTCAGTCCTCCTGCCAGTCTTGTTCTCATTTTTTTTTTCTGAGTACCTTACTTGGTTCTTCTGAACGACTGTATTTCATTGGCCAATCAGTTTTTCAACAAGGGTATGCGCGTGCTGAATTCATTTAGTTCTTGTGTTCTGAGAGTGTCTGTGTGTTATGTTTGTATCCAAAGGACAATTTGACTGGTTATAAAATTCTTGGGTCACGCTTTCTTTCTGTCAAAACTCTGCAGCATTGCCCCACTGCCATCCGCCATTGAGTGTTAATGTTGGGAAGTCCCAGGTTAGTCTAAAATCTTCCCCTGAGGGTGCGGGGGGTCTCTTCTTTTCTGCTCTGATGCCATGGGATTCTCCGGTTATCAGTAAGACCAGTCACTTACCTAAGATATGTCTCACTGTTGAATATTCTGTATCATTTTGTCCCAGGACAAGGTATGGCCTTATTTTTTAAATCTTTAAAAAATACTTCACTTGTATTTTCAAATAGATAGAACAATGAAAAGCAAGTAACCCTGTGCCTATCTCCCTCTTACTCAAGCTATTCCCCTCCCCTGAAGTAACCAGGGTGGCAAGCTATTCCCTCTCCTTGTGGAGCTATTGTATGCAAATAAAATCACATTTGTATCTCTGTGTTTTTTTGGCAGGGGGATCACTCATCAGTGCATATGGAGCTGCCTCATTCTTTTTAGCAGCTGCATTTTATTCCGTCACATAATTCTGCCATGACTGATTGAACTGATCTCCTTTTGAGGGACGTTGGCTCCCAGTCTTCTACTCTAACGATCAGGGCTGCAGTCAGTACCCTTGTCTGTACGTCCTCATGACTGGGTCTGTAGGACCCGCTCCTCGGAGTGGAATAGCTGCGTCCATGGTATGGGCATTTAAAATTTCGATCACCCTGGCCATACCGTCTTCCAGTGCACGCCTCACCAACACCGTGGGGGAATCCACGTGTCTGCGTGCCCTTCCTGATATGGAGCACTATCCCAGCTTTGCTCTTTGCCAACCTAATAAGGATTTTTTGTAGTAATTTTAATTTGCATTTCTTCTAATATAATTAAAATTGAGCATATTTTCATATACTTAAGAGCCATTTTATTTTTCTTTTTGTGAATTCTGTTCATTTCCTTTGCCTATTTTTCTATCAGGTTATTGTATTTTTCTTGTTGATTTATGGAAGCTCTTTATTTTTTAAAATTATATGTATATTTGTATTATAGTTATGCATGCAAATGATATAAAAGGTCAAACTGCTCTACAAGAGCCATTATAAGAAACAGTAGTTCCTGACCCCCCTGCATCCCAACAATCTGGAGGCCGCCACTTCTCAATTCCTGTAATAGGACTGGGCTCTGCCCCGGCTTGGGGCAGAGAGGGAACGATCAGGTGGTGGACACTCCCCAGGTGGGATTACTCTGGGGTGCGGACACTGACACTAGAAACATTAACTTTCCCCACACAGTCTGATCGATTTCCCTGGCAAAGAGCACGTACTTTATGTCTTGGGATAAAAGCCAGCTGCCCGTGTCTTTTGTGTGTGGTCGGGTGGGACAGTTGTCTGGTGCACATAGAATCCCTCTGTTTTCAACACTCTGCTCACACTTGTTGCCTCTGAGCCCAGGCGACTTGGGCTGACTGACTCCCACATGTTTGCAGCCTTGCTGGAGAATTTTCTAGGCTGCAGGTTTCGTGCCTTTTTGTCAACCCACTCCAACCTCCTTCTGGAGCCGAGAATTTGTTCAAATCTCTCAATATTTGGTTACACCATCCTCTTCCCCCTTTATTTTATTGCTCTGGGCTCCTTCCTTTTGAACATTTCTACTTTTACCTTAATAAGATTTCAGGAGGATAAGAGTGGGTCTAATCGACCACCCAGACCGAGAAAGCTGCTTATGTCTGAATTCTCATTTTCTCATCCACTGGTTTTCCTCAGCTCTGTGAGTTCACTCTTCATCTCTCTGAACACTTCATCTCTCGTCCTTGGGCTCTTCTCAAACACAAACCATATCATCTGGAATTTCTTTGAGACTGGAGAGAGCCCATGTTTATACTTTTCTTCTTCCATACCTTGGTCTCCTTGCAGTAGATTTTCATCTGCCTCTTGCTTATGATCATTTCTTCCTTTTATTTCTGTTTCAAGATCTTGGCTGGTTTGTTCCCAGCTCGTGCTTGAATGAGACCCACTAAAGAATTGTGAGGAGGGGGAGTGGAGGGCAGCAGTGCAGTTTACAGCCCAGCCACAAGCCACGTTCTGTCTGCACCACCCTCTCACCAAGCAGCTCTGAGCGCCCCCGCTCTCCCCCAAAGAGCCATCTCCCTGAGAGCGGCTCACAGCAGATCTTAAGTTACAGGCTCCCTCTTCTGAGCTCCTGCCTTCCTCCTTTACAGCACTTCTCTGTTGGAGGATGGTACGTGGCTCTGGTTTCTGTTCAGTCCTCCTTTTCTACAACTCTGCCATGACACGTGGCCCATGGCCCAGCTGTTCGGGTGTCCTCATGCCCAGCAAAGGAGCACAGGGATGATCTTACAGGGATGTGCAGAGAACACTGCCTCCTGCCCCAGACTGGGGGCTGGAGAGCTCCTGCCTCCTCCCTCCGCCCACTCAGATTTCTCAGCATCTGGAGATAAGCTGGCTGTTTGAAAGACTGGGTTTTGGCTACTTCCTCGTTTCCTTGAGTATGGCGTTTTGATTGAACTTGAAGGAGGGGAATTAAAAGATCTTTACTGTTATTAGTGAAGTCACTGTTTTCTAAAGATTAGTTTTATTATAATGAAGCTCATCATAATGAGCCAGAAATTCGTACATCATCAATAATATTTTTTCTACTGATTGATACTGAAATTTATTTAGGACTCATTTAAATTTTTCTGCATTCTTTTCTCATTATATTTTTCTGGACTGAAATTAGGTAGGGGACTCACATTATTCTCTTCCTTTCTCACATACACAAACTCCCCCCTCCCCACCCCAACAAGGAGCTTGTTAGGACAGTCCTCTGTCAAGTTACCTCAGGGGGCAAGGGCAGCAGAGACTTATCAGTCTCACAGATGAAGAAGGGTGTGCTCGTTGAAAGCAACACGTTCACGGGCAGGGTGGAAATGTTCTTCATGACCAAGGGCTGGTAATCAGGTTTCAAGACAGTGTTTGGTTTCTGCAAAAAAAGAGAAAGGAAGAAACAAGCCAAGTTATGATAAATATAGTAAGGCTTTAGGAACAAAAGCCTCATATATATATATATATATATGTATAAAATATGCATATACACACACATACACACATACCCCATATGTATAAATAAGCACATGCCTTTTTTTCTCTTGTACAGATTTAGATAAGTAATTTGGAATATATGGTGGCCTATGAGAGGTGAAACTACCTAAGTGAGAAAACAGATTAGATTTCTTACTCTGCTGTTGCCTGGTTAAAACAAAACAAAACAAAACAAAACCCCACAAAAAACCTAGACAAGCCATGGCCCTAGATAGAACTATTACTACAGAAGTTTCCATAATGTCATAAAACAAACTCTAATAATTTAGTGGTATCTGTGGAAGAACCCCTGTATCAATATAATGAATAAAACGTTTTTTTCTTCTACAGTATTTTTTCCATGCTCAAAATACTCAAATTGCCAGTATATTTTTCTTGTTAATTTGACAAGTACTCAATTTCCTCTAAATTTTTCCTGATGACACTGGGATAGACTATTTAGAAGCGTTTTTTTACTCTGTTGAACATCAGACTTAATTTTTCAACTGGATAAGAAGGCGGCATTGGAAACAGATCCTGAGCCACACGTTTCTGGTCAGACTGATTTTCCTCGTTCTGTGCTGGGATCCGCGTGGTTTCCCGCATGCCCTGGGTCCTTGAGTGTCAGCAGGAGTCGATGTGAAGCCTCAATCCGTGGCCTCCAAAGAGAATCTGCTTCCAATCATTCTCTGGCTCCTCTAACAACTCTAGTCTGTTTTTCTTGGGCTCTTTGTTTTGGTTTGCTTTTTCTCCTTATTCAGATTTCAGTTAAATTCCCTTGATTCCACATTTTCATCTGACCCTGTCTCTGCTTTTTTAATCCAGCACGGTCTTCTTTCCACTGCAATTCTTGGATGCCCTGGCTCTGGGTGAGCTCATGGGATCAGCATCCTTTGTGCCTTAGTTGGGGCTGCTATAGAAACAGTATAGACTGGTGGTGTAAACAAAGACGTGTATGCCTCACAGCTCTGGAGACTGGGCAGTCCCAGGCCAAGGTGCCGGCAGGTCTGGTGTCTGGGGGCCTGCTTCCTGGCTTGTAGATGGCCGTCTTCTCACTGTGCCCTTATGTGACTAGAGAGACATTATCTCTCTTGTCTCTTCTTATCCCACGCATGCAAGCCCCACCTTCACAACCTCATCACCTCCCACAGGCTCTCCCTCCAACATCACCACATTGGGGATTAGAGCTTCAGTATTTGAATCTGAGGAGACACACAGCCATTCAGTCGGACAGTTGGCTGAATCTCCTGCCTCGGATGTGCTCCATCAGCCCCTGCACAGGGGTTTGGTCTGACCCTCACCAGGAGATGCCAACCGTCGTTTCCCTCCCTCCAACATGGTAGCACAGGGACTGGACTCAGCTTGCATTTGCAGACTATACCCTACGGTTTGAGGGAGGGTAAAGCGGCACTGTAGGACTATCAAAGGCCATATGGAGAACTGTCCCCCCAGTGACTTTCCCCAAGGCTGCTGTGTCACTGCAGGTAGTTTTGAAGCGAAGAAGCCACATTTGGCTGGTTTGGCAAGAGGCCATTTAGAGGTTAGTGATGAGAAGGAGTCGATGCAGAGAATCTGTTCTATTTTAAAATGACCCCTTTCCCTCTCGGTTGTTTGTCTCCCCAAATATCAGGAGATAGGATTTGCTCCTGGACTTCATGAAGCAAACTGGCTGCTGGTTTCAATTGACCTTTTCAAAGTCCACAAAGATGTGGTTTCATCTCTGTGGCTTATGAATGGTACAATAGTTATAAAGCAGATCAAATCTGAGGAAATGGTCACAGAAAAATTCTCCCCACAGGCAGTGTTGGTGTCATTATAGTCTAGTGCACTAAATCAGATACACTGCCTTGAGCTGAAAATAAGGAGACAGAATAGATAATTGGGTGTTACATAAGTAAATATGAATACCGAGACCTACCAGGTCTCTTGCACATACTGGGTAATGAAGTTGCAATTCTTCACTGTCCCTGCTATGGATTAAATGTGAGCAGGAAATGAACAATGAAAAATAACCATAGCTGGACAGGTTTCCGATTGGTGATATTTAGCAGGGAGAGAAGGGTAAAATCACACGGGGAGCTGTGACTCAATTCATTTTTTAATTCAATAAGTCACTGCTATATTAAAATATTTGCTATTTTATTCTAGTGATAGAGTCAAAAATACCTTAAAAAAGAAAATGCTTTTTAAAAAAAAAACAAGGCTAAAGGATTTAAAGAGAAGAAAAAGAATACAACCCACACATTTTTATGAATGTTTACAGGCTTAGAAAAAAATCTAGTAAGAAACAAAGTTACGTATTTAACATATACTATAATTTCTTACATTGAATAATTATTCAGTAAATATGCTCTGATTTTTCTCTGTGTAGTTACGTTTAGAGAAAATATGATGCCACCAAACTCGGTGCAGCTACCACCAGTAAATATCTGTCCTGATCACTTAGAAAGAATCTAAAACAGAGCAGTGAAAGCTCAATAACTGTTGTAAGAACTCGTGTAGTATTTTCTTTTTATATGTCTCATGGAGCCTGTCACGGTTAGTTTAACGTCCTGTAACGGAAACCCTTATTCTGCTTCTTTATTGTCTACCTCCCCCAGGAGTCTGTTAAGCCTGGGACTTTGCTGTGCCTTCGCTGCCTCATACACAGTGAGTGCTCAAGTTACCTGTTGATTTGAACTTGTATATCTCCCCTCCTCTCCTTGGCTATATGGCCCTTAGTCATCTCCTGGCAGCACCATACCCATGGCGGGTGCTCAGGAGATATTTATTTAAAACACACAAAATATGAGGGAACCCGCTACCAGCATAAATTCTCCTGCAAGCCTCCAGTAATGAAAGGAGCCCTGGCTGATTCCCACCCTAACTGATTAGGCACTGCCGCACCCCAAACTTTTTATATGACAGCAGAGACCGCACTGTGGGACAATGACTCCCTTAATGCTTGGTCTTCCTGGTCAGCTTCGAGGTTCATCAGGGAGGGACTATACTCACTGTTGTACCACTAGCACCCGGCACAGTGCTTGGCACGTGGTAGGCCTTAATAAGCATTCCACTCAGCAGCCAGAGTGACTGTTTCAATGAATACATCTGACCGTGTCACTCCCCTCTCTGAAGCCCACCAGTGGCCACCCAGACATGCCTCTCAGGCATGCCACACTCACTGGCCCTTGCCCCCTCTTCCAGATAGACCTCATGCCACTGCCGACATGGTCTCCATCTAAGGAGGCTTCCCAGGTCTCTGTGCTCGCCAAGCACTTTCCTAGCCCAGGCCTTTTGTGTGTGCTATTCCTTCTCCCCGTCTCTTGCCACCAGACTGCCTCCACTTTTTCTTCAAGTCTCAACCTGAGGCACTTGCTCACGGAAGCCATCTGTCACCACAGAAACAAATAAAGCCACTCTCCTGATACGTGCTCTCATAGTAACTTACACTTCTTCTTCATAGCACTGTTTCGAATTGTAATTTAAACAATTGAACTTTAATACTTTGTTTACAGCTGTAACTTCAATCAATCTCTTGGCTTTAAGTACGCCTCACTGGTTCACCAGATTGTCAGCACCAATACACTACTGGTGCAGAAGAGGCATTCCACATGTCTCTGTTTTGAATGTTAGATGGAAGTCTGTTGAGGAGTAGGTCTCAAGTTCTACTGTGAAAGCTCCTGCACCTCCTCACTATCCTGACCCCCCGCCCTAAGCAGCAGTCATTCCCATCTCTTCCCTGTCCCCTGCCGCCCCGCTTATTGCTTGCCCTTAATGGCCATATAAAGTCATGGACATGTGTAGCCATATAGTTTAAGAATGTGAATCAAACAGTTTAAGTTGATTATTGTCAGTGTTGGTGATCTACATATTAGCTTAACTTGTATCTCGGTTGCCCCACGCATCCCATGGGAATGATAGCAGAACCTGTAGCATAGCTCGTGGTGAGGGACAACAGGGCAAATGCATGTGATGAATATGGCTCAGTGCCCAGCACAAACCAATCAATACACTGCAGCAATTCTTACTGATTATTATGATTATCAATAATCATCCAACCCTGTCTATAACTGTGATGTTTATTTTATCTAGTTAGAGTAAAATGATCGACTACAGTATATTTTCAGTGTACTAACATCAGGAATGATGGATGTAGAATTTCTGTAACCATTTACATTTCAAAGAAATGTAGGTTTCGATTCAGAATTTTTAGTTGAAGGGGTACAGGCCTCTGAAGCTTAAAAAAGCACAGGCTGGGTATGGGTACATCAGACTTCCCATCAATTTGGCTTCTCTAATGAAGATGTGGACACACTGACCCCAGAGGGAGCAGCCAGCCCTCCCCCGCACGCCCGCTGACCTTCTCCAGTCGGTATAAGAGCTGCTTGGTGGAGAGCTGGATAAGCGGCTCTATAAACTCGCAGATGATGTTCACGGTTATCACCATGCTCTTCCTCTTCTGTCTCCCAATAACGGCGTGGCACACGAGCTTTTCTTCGACTATCTGCAGATGAGACACACCAGCATTCTGAGAACAGCCACAGCTCAGAAAACTTAATTCTCCACAGTCGGCAAAGGGGTTCTCAACTGCCTGCCTGGGAACACTGGGGAAGGGCACATTTTTTGAATAGTGCATTTCAGGTATTCTCTGTCACACAATTAGTACCTCATTAAATATGTCCTGGATGGAACCTGCATCCATTTCTGACTGCCTCTGAGGACACAATCAATTGACTGTCAGTTCGACAAATATACATATAGAAGGTGCATTAGGACCACAGGTTAACAGTCATCAGGACTATTAGGCACTGGGCATACCAAACAGTGATGGACGAGGTAGATGAAACCCTTGTGGGTTTATAGTTCGATGACAGTTCTATTTATCAAGCTAGTCAGAAAGTGTCTGGGAAAAATTTTTGTCTTTCATATTTGAATATTTAAAAATTGTGCTATAGAAGTGAATATTTCTTTGCCCCCCTTTCCCCACCCCCACCCTGAGGTCCTGATTTATATAAATTAGAAAGGACGCAGAGTGAATTTATATTATGATTAGCTTGTATTGAAGAGTGCTCAGGGATCAGATGTTAATGAATTCAAGTCTCTTTTCAATTATGTAGCATAATTTGGAAGAACGTTCAGGGAAGCCTTTAGTAAAGCTGAAACTGAATTTAGAACCCTGGAAGCTCAGATTGCGATGCCTTTAAAAATATGGCCAGCTCCCAATCGTGCCATTGTAAGTGTGCTCCCACAACAGGCTGTCAGCTTCCGGAAATGAGGGCTGCCTTCGTCTTTGCATCCTTAGTGCCTCGCATACTGTTTATCATATGGCACATACTCCGTAGAAGCTGGCCAAACTCCCGAGTAACAGAGAGAAAAACCACCTAGTATACTCACTCCACAGTGAAGCAATGAACTAGCTTTGCTGTCTTGTCTGTTGGAAGATAAATTTCTTATTGTTTCCTATTTCCCGAGGAGAAAGTTCAGCAGCACCTCCTAACTCAGCGACACCAGGAGGGGCAGAAGCAAGCGCCAGTTCTCACTGACAAAGTCTGCACTTGTGAGGTAGAAGAGGCTCACAAGTGATCACAAACGTTCCTTTTAGGTTTCTGATGGTTTCCAGTCCCCACGAGGGGACAGTAATAAACAGGCATGTTTCGGATTTGCATACATGTTTAAGCAGAATGGTGATGATGTAAATAAGAACAGATCATCACAGTTGCTGAAGATAAATGCAACTCTTTTATTAATACATAAAAAGATGATGGTTATAAATGTGATGCTGTGAATGTCATACCGAGAGGAAAGGAGCTGGGGATGTCGCAATACCTGGACTGAAAAGCCCAGAGAGTTTTTATAGAAACACCCTTTTGGAATAAGTATGAATACTGCTAAGCGTTCACTGGGGGCTTAGCTTTGGCTGAAGGCTGGATATCCCTCTCCCAGAGACTCACTGGCTGGTCACTGCTGCCTCTGGGAATGAGAACCTGCTTTAATTAGCATTTGAAGGTTGGGTTTATGGTAGCTGTAGAAACAAACATAAAACTGAGCAGAGCTGAACTGTAAAAGCAATGCGTGCTGCCATGGTAACTCGGGGCTACACGTAGGCCTTCAGAAACCACATTGTTTCTTCAGATAAATGTCAAGGAACTCGCCTGAGAAATACAGCAAAGATTTATTCAGGAGAAAAGCAGGTTCTAAGCGTGCTGTCCTCTTACCCTGGGAGTAGCAGAATAGCCTTCAAGTACCACATCGATCGTCTGCTCTGGCTGCAACTCCATCCTGACGGGATGAAGCTGAAACACAGGGCTCTGGGGGTCCCTGGGTGCCTGGGAGCTGTGGCATGGCGGGAGGCTGTTGGCAGGTCCTTTCTTGCTCGGCTTGTTCTGGAGACAGGGATTTTCGTTCATCCAGTATAACTGTTGGACGCGACGGCCCTTGTTGGTCAACTTGAAGTTGTAATAACACATGTTCAGGCTGGAAAAGAGGAGGCAAGTATTGAGAGAACTCAACTTTGGCATGTTCTGTTCAGCTCTACACCCTTGGGATTTACCCCCCGAGAAGTAATTTAAAAGTGAACAGGGAAATAGACACAATTTTTAATGTAGGAAGACTCCACCATAGTGCTACTAGGAGCTACCACAGCAAAGGGACAAAGTAGCATCTAATCATGGGGTCCATGAACTAAAGTCAGACACTGGAGTTTGGCTCCTGAGTTGTCATCACCAGGGAAGGGACCATGGGAAAGACTGATCCCACAGAAAGACTGTGTCTCAGTCTTTCCCAGCAGGTCAAGCAAGCCACAGAACAGACAGACACAGGTCATGTGAAAGCCACTCTAATTCACGAGAAATGGCTCTGAAGAGTAAACGGAAAAGCAAAATACCTACTGGAGGAGAAACATATTTCAAATTGTGTCGAGCAGATTTCTACTGACTGAGTGAAATGTCTTGTGATGGGCTCAATTTGAAGGGAACTTCAGGGAGAAATGGCACATACCCTCTAAGCCTTACCAAAGCTCAAGGGAAGTGTAACAGTCCAGAGTACCTGCTGGAATGGTCGTTTTTCTCAGACTAGCTTGCTTTAAAGATGCTGCTCTTTCGCTTCCTCATTCATCCATTCCCCGAGCAGTTATTAAGGACTGCGTGATTGTTCAGCTCACTGTTAAACATGGGGATTTCTGAGACCTTGGAGGTTGTTCAAATGTATTTTTGTTTGGAATTTTCTTTGACCAATTTATAAACTTTCAAAATACATTTTTTTTTCAGGGAGAAAACTCAGCTCAGGATTTAATTAAATTAAAAATTTTTTATTAGGCTTTGAAAGTTTATACCATCTGTTCCTCCCTAGGAATGATATCATGTCTAATGAGTAATTTGCAGCATCAGATAAATGAGTATTTGCCAGTTGTCAGGTGTAATAATTTCATTCTAGATATGTGTCCACAGGGCATGCTCAGTGGGCTCTTCAGTCAGTAGTTTGTCTTCATGGCTATGAGTAGGCTTTGGGGAAACCAACACACAGCACACACTGTTCACCAAGTTAGCAGGGTCTCTGCAGCTGATTTACAGTGTATCTTTCGGACATCGCAGCAACCCAGTAATAATAAGCATACTTCCTCTTATTTGATAGATGAAGAAACAGAAGTTCTGAAATTTTAAGGGCGTTGTCCAAAAACATGCAATCAAAAGAGGTAGCCTATGGATAATTTTTTAGACCGGCATGTCTCCCCATGGGCAAACTTTTCTGTAAAGGGCTGAATAATAAATATTTTGGACTCTTTGGGCCACATGGTCACTGTCACAACTACTCAATCGCCCACTATGGGGTGAAAACAGCCATAGAAAATATATGTATACAAACAGGCATGGCTTTATTTCAATAAAACTTTATTTACAGAAACAGTGGGCTGCAGCTCTACTTTTGAGGACCCTTTTGGAGATTGCTGGCATCATGATTTTATGTCAAAAAGAATGATGAGGTTTAGGCAGAAGGGAAATTGCAGCTAAAAATTCAGTTTGCTTCCATATTCATAGAAAATTATAGGCTAAACCTCCCAATTCCAAGCAAGTGACAGAATATCCTTTGGGGCTATTTGACACTATTTGTAGACTACAGAGAATGTGTAATGAAGTCTGGGTGACAGTACTTTGTTTCTGTAATCATGTTTGCGTATACTTGAAGAAATTTGGGAAGAGAAGCATGAAATGCATTGACAAAGTGCTCCTGCTTGTGGCCGACAGGCAGGCAAGGAGAAGCACTTTATATCTGGTTGACACAGAAACCGTAATGGAGGCTTCTCTGAAAACAGAATTCATGGTGATTTGTGGTATTTGCAGCCCAGTGTCACGGTCTGTGGATGGGTTTGTGGGGAGGGCCCTGACTGGTTTTGATTCGGAGCATCTTCTCTAAGCACAGTGTGTCCGTCTTGGTTTCGGGGCCTGCTAGACCAGAAGGCAGGGGCAGCCCTTTGAGATCTGGTCACCATAATGCGATGCGCAGGTATGCACTCAGCTGGCCCCCACAGCTGCGTGACCCCTCTGGGGAACCATGAATAAATCCCCACACACATCCTTGCCTGTTAGCATTCAGACCTCGCACATTTTTAAAGCCACGTTTAGATCATTCTGCCCGAGAGGTGTATATGCTCTGTCACCTTTTATTTAAATATTTAGATGCTCTGTTTTTTTCTGAGTGATCAAGGAGAGCCAGTTGTAGGCATCTCGGTTGTTAGTGCTATAGTCAGGAGGCAAGCAGAGCACATAATACCAAAAAAGTTACTGACTTTGCAGCTCCTGATAAGAAACATTCACAATAAATGTTTTCCTTCCTAGTTATACTCGGGTTACCACTAACATGCACCTGTATTTTCTGCATACATGGAGAGGGATTAACAGTGTATTGGAATCAAAGAGGAGAATCATGGTTGAGATTCTAGGTTCGTCACCAGGAAGTCACTGTAAGTTTGAGAGAAAATGCACTTCTGGTGGACTGTCTCTTCTCCAGCATAGAGGGACATAGCTTGGAGAATGTAACCAAGCTGTGACTAGAACATACCTTCTCATGGCCGATGCATCCATCTGGAGGGGGAAATGGAGAGAGGACAGGGAAAGGACTAAGGAGTTCAGTGCTATTTACTTAAAAGTAATTTTTTTGAAGTAGAGATGATGCTCAGCTTATATAATATACATATCTATGAAAATTCATCCATAATATTTCCCTACCTAAAATATGCTCCCAGATTGATTTCTGGAGCAAAGGGTTTATCTGAAACAATGGTGGAACCAATTCCTGAAGCCTGGACCGGAATCCGATAGGTGTTGCTATTTTTAATTTCCAAAATGACCATGTCTTTGAATGTCACTATGTCATTCAGGTTGGCGGTCAGTGTCAGCTGAACCTCATTTTCCGGGGGAACGACACCTTCGTTGGGTTCGACTGTCCAAAGGGAATTTTTGTGTGCCTGCAATACAAGACTACAAGTTAGCAATGAAGATATTCTTGGCTTTTTCTTCTGCACATGTCAAAGCCCTTTATACTTCAAATGGCTGGCACTGCAGAGCTCAATATCAGAGACAAGCATTATTTTTTTCAAACCAAAGCGGCGGGGTGTTTGTTGGCTTCCTTTTTTCAAAAAGCAATCTGATTCTGGAGAGTACAATTCTACTTTTGAATGCTCTGTGAAGATTCTTTACATCTCTTTCTCTAGATGACAGTTCAGTTCTCTAACAAGCTGCTACTAATTATCTGCTTTAATCACCAAATTCTGAGATACCAGCAGAAGGTATAACATCCTTTCTGAAATTTGGAATTTTCCAAAGACAGGTTTTTCAAGTGCAAAGTTTCTACAGTGTTATTAGTGAGTATAAACAGCTTTTGCTAAACACAATATATTACTGTGTTTATTCTATTATTCCATAATAGTAAAGAGAATTTCATCTGCTAAAATTCCAAACTTATTCTGAAATATATGATAGGAGGTGAAAATTATAGAGGTGAAATTGACTCCCATGAATCCGTTCCCTTTAACTGATTAGATCCTCTCAGCTCACCCCCTTTGCTCCTTAAGAAATTTGGCCAAACAATACCTCACCTGCTATGCTTGTCACCTTTTAAACCTGCCCCAGGACTCCTGATCCCCTTTACCCAGCTCTATTTTCCCTGCAGCACTTACCATCTTCTGACTCGTGCACAACTGACTTACTGATCATGCTTGCCTGTGCCCTTGCTCTGGAATATAAACTCTCCACAGAAGGGGTTCTTGCCATTTTTGTTCTTGCTGGTGTTGTTGACTGATACAGCCCTAGCACCTATGCCTGTCACCCAGTAGGTGCTTAATAAATATTTGGTACATGAAAGAATGTATCTGCTTTTTGATCAAACCCTCTGATGTTAGAGAACTCATTTCTCCTATAAGGTAACTTATCCCAGGGAACTCAAACTCTTGATAGCTCTTCTTAAATTAAGTAGAAATATGCTGAGTTTTTGTTTTTATTTTTTGTTGGTTGGGTTTTTTTTTTTTTTTGGACCTTCCATATGCTGGTATTTGGTCTACTCCCTTGGAGCTAAAAAGAATAAATTGAATCTCTCCCTCTTTTGATTAATAGTCCTTCACATCCTGTATCCCAGCTTTAGAAGAAACCTCATATGGCACAATCAAGCTCCAAAGTAAATTGAAAATTTGGTTGAGGTGTTCAGTCATAAACAATGACTCAGGCTATAAGAAAATGACTCATGCTATAAGCATCTCATTTAATCTAAAAATAGAAATTCTGCTTCTTCGTTGGTGATCTATTTTCTCAGGCTGCTTTTATGATTTTCTCCTTATCTTTGATTATAGTGCAGGTTCACCATAATATGCCTAGTTATGGGTTTATTTAGACAACCTACTTGGAATTTGCTACCCTTCTAAAATCTGTGGTTTGCTATCTTTTACTTCTGGAAAATTCTCAGCCATTATAAACGTTCTTCCTGCCTCATTCTCCTTCTCCTTTCCTTGTGTTACTCCAATTATACATGTGCATGACTTTCCTAATATATCCTCTCTGTCTTAGCCTCGCGTGTGCATTTTCCAATCCTTTGCTCTCTGTGCTTCCTTTTGGATGACTTCTTCTCAGCTGTCTTCCAGTTCACTAATTCTTTCTTCAGCTGGGTGTAATTACTGCTAAAGAAACCTATCGAGTCCTTAATTTTGTTTTTTTGTATTTATTTCTGAAAGCAGGCCTTATTATTTATCTTTCTTTATATATATTTTTCAGGCTATTCAGATCTTTTAAAGCTCTGATGATGATATTTGATTTATTAGCTACTCCTAGTCATGTGAAAACTTGATAAGCAAATTGTTTTTGAAACTTTTCAACTAAATATAGCAAATACATATTCAATGGCTTGAGGTCCCGATGTTGTGGGAGACACAAAAATGCCCAGAGATGATTCCTGGCCTCCGAGGAGCTGACAGTAATGACATCCAGGACTCCAACAGGTAAACAACAGAAACGTGAGTCAGAAACGCAAGGCACGGGTGGAAGTGCTTCAGGGAAACCTAAAACCCAGGATGCTTTTCCAGAACAGACAATGTTGGTACGCTTTATTACATGACAAACATACCAGGCGCAGTTTATTTTCCCTCCTGTTGTGACACTGGGCTTAATTATCAGGTAGGATGATTCTTAATTGTATTTTGCTATTGATTTTAAAACATTCCAATTTACTCTATTCTAATGTCATATATAAGCAATGATCTCAAAATTAACAAAAAGTGTATCCTTATTTTGATTACTATGCCATCTCAATCAATTTTGATGGTGTTGTTTTATTTTGGGGAAGAAACTACTCAGAATTACATATATGGATTCATATTTATAGAAAATATTTAGTGATTACCAACAATGCACTGGGAAAAGGCTGAAAAAAGAAGAGATGTGTGATCATTCAGAAGCTTCCAGGATAATAACTGAGAGGCAAAGCTAAACCCTCCCATTCATGGGGGCAGAGTGTGATTATCCCCTCATGAATCCTCCTCAGTTTCTCACGCTCATCCTGACTGTGGCAGTTCAGAGGGAAATCTCTAAAGAAAAGCACACAGAGGAAAACAATGTATTTAGAAACAAATGCAAAATATACTTGGTGTGCTGGATTTAAGAGGACATCCCAGTCCAAAACTTTCCTTTCTTCCTTTAATTTCTATGGTGTACTTCTCCTAGCAAAAGGAAAAAGGAAGAAATGTAAAATACATACAGCTCTATGGGTGCATAGGGACAATGTAAGGCCATGAGTCGAAAACTTCTCGACAAGTGCAGGGTGGGTTTGGAAGAGCGCTGCACTGATGATCACTGTAAGTAAGAAGAATGTACACTGTAATTTTTAGGCAAGGGTTAGGAATGTTAGCCGGGTAGAACCTTCTAGGGCGGCAGTGACTTGGAACGCCACCAAAATCCAGGTCTGGCCCCATTATAGATTCAGAAACTGGATTTGGTTCTGAATGGTCACTCTCTCAGGAATGTGTTCATAGCTATTTAATAAAGAGAATCTAAAATTTAAAACCAAATGCCAATTTCCCAACTAACAGCTGAGGACAGACCAGAATGCTAGTTACATTTCATCCTGGTTTGCAAGTCTATATGGAAACAAATAAACTGTATTTAAAAATTTAAAGAAGTTAAATAAAGCAAAGGAGAATAGTTCTCAACATGATAAATTGTTTATAAGAAGGATGTAGGTGAAATTTTATTTTAATTTTGGTATTAACAGAAAAGATAGATTTAATTCTATGTCAAAAGTCCTATTATTACTCCTGATCTCTTAAGAGACATCTTTAGAGACATAGATATTAAACAAATATTAATTACTATACTAGATAAACTAGGGCTGAGATGGGATATTCGTACGATAATTATGTCTTTTTCAAAAATATTTGTGGAAAATATGTTGACTTTTGCACAACTCAAACTGTTTTTTTAAAATTTTCTCTCTAACCTTCTACTCACAGTAAATTAGCCCTAGTAAAGTGCTAAAATATTAAGGAAACAGTAAGCAAAGGCTGTCTTTCCAGAATGTCATCCTTCATTTTAATTTTATCTTAAAATATTATTAACAAAAAAGATAATAATCCTCATAAATTTCATTTTCAGGATTATAGATTATTATTGACAAGGGAAACTACAAGGACTGAATGTCACTATATTCTGCTCGTATTGAAGTTCAAGAAATAATCTCTAATGTGTATTCATCCACACCCCAATTTTTTTAACAGTCTGTCTTCGTCCATTCACAGCAATGTAGGCCTTTCCTACCACGCACTTCACAACTCTCGCAGCTTCTACCTGGGAGGGACCTAGTCCAAGGCCACTTCCACATTTTTAGGTGTTACAGCAGCGCCCCACTCTCAGTACCAGTTTCTGCATTAGTTTGGGCTGCGAAAACAAAATGCCATCAACTGAATGGCTTACAAACAACAGAAACTCACTTTCTGTTCCTGAGGCTGGCAGTCTAAGATCAGGGGGCCAGCACCATCGAGTCCCGGTGAGAGCCCTCCTCTGGGTGGAGGACTGCCAACTCCCCTTGTACCCTTACTGGGGGAAGTGCAGAGCAGCGCAGAGGAGGAAAGCTCTCTTAGGAAGACTCTCAAAATCACATTCACAAGGGCTCCCCGCTCATGACCTCATCTAACCCTAATCACCTCCCTAGGGCCTCCCCACCTAATGCCATTGTGGGGTAGGGTTTTAACATATGAATTTTGGGGAACACAATCATTTCATCTACAACATTCACATTCAGCCCCCTAAATTCACGTTCTTCTCACATGCAAAATACAATCTTCAATTCAGAAGAGGAATATAACCAGCACTCAACCATTTGGGGACCTTGACCTCGACTTCCAGCCTCGGGAACTGTGGGAAATAACTTTCCGTTGTTTATGAGCCACCCAGTCTGTGGTGCTTTGTTAGAGCTGCCTGCACTAAGGCATGATCCCAAAGTGAAAACCTTAAAATCCTCTGACATATTAATTATAGAAAACCACACAAAAATGAGTCCTAAAATAGCTATAAATGCGAATTAAATTTCCTGCAGATATTTTAAGATGAATCAATGTAGCTTTATTTCATCAGCATTTTTCTTAGATAGGACTTTTGGACTTACATTATTTTCAGTCTGACCTACACAATAAAGCAGTACATGGAAATAGATTTCTCATGCTTAAGTAACCTGCCTACCTCCTTACTTAGAACTACTCATCTTTCTTACTTTCAGTTTTTAGATTCTAGGCTACTATTTTAGATAAAGTAATACTAGCTGCTGTAACAACAAAAAGAATAACAAAAACCTGATACTCATGGCTTAATACAACAAAAACTTATTCCTGGCTCACGTGAATTCCAAGTGCTGGCAGGCATGGGAATAGGTTTCGGTTCCATTCAGTCATTCAATGACCCCGGCTCAACAGCTCCCGACATGTTCCACTCG